CGGTCAATGTAAGAAGTGCTCTACAGAAGCTAGGCGAGGTAGTTCAGACGGCGGACAAGTTACTGTCAGCTCTGAGCGAGGAGTTCAAAAGCCTAGATTTGTACATAAGGCCCGAGCCAGATCAAGAAAAGGAGCGAATTGCTCTAGCAAAGTTGATGGCGACGATCAAGAGAAAACGCGAGACAAGCAGCCCATCAACGCCTGCAACAAAGGCAAAGCCAATGCCAAAGAAGGTGCCAAAGTTCCTCAAGGAAGGAATTACAGATGAAGAAAGAAAGGCAGCGAATACTTTGGAGAAGCAGTTAGCTTTGAAAGACAAGCTGAGATCATCATTCAAAAAAGCCGCGGATGAAGCAATAGAGAAAGCAGCGAAGGCAAAGTTGGATCACAGCAAGGAGAAGCCAAGCGAACCAAAGGGTACGCCACCGACCAAGGTGAACCCAATATGGCTCAAGAATCCAAGAGAAGAGTCGTTCAAGAAGACCAAGTACTTGCATTGCTTCTTTTGCAAGGCTACAGACGAGCATAAGGCTCCGGATTGCCCGGAAATGGAAAAAGCTGTTAAGGTGTACTACGATGGAACAAGACCCGACAGGGACAACAGCGAGCGAAGAATCTTTTGCAAATTTTGCTTTCTGACGTTTTCGCACATCAATCACAGAAGCTTCAAGTATAAGGGATGGGGTGCACATACCCCGGACATCTGCAAATACAAAGACGACGTCAAGAGTTACTTGAAGAGCAACGAGTATAAGTTCAAGAGCGAGTTGAAGGATATTCGAGAAGAAGAAGAAGCTCAAGACAAGAAAGGCTATACCCCGAAGGACAGTTGGGGCACAGAACCGAAAAAGCAGATGAAAAGTGATGAAACATAAGCCGAAGGAAAAGCAGATGAAAAAGAAGAGAAAAAGAAGAAAACAGCCGACAAGTCTAAGAGCAAGGACAAGGAGAAGAAGGCTGAAAAGGAGAAGAAGCGGAAAAGCGAATCCCCGTTTGATCAGAAGCGTGCCGAGAAGCGGCAGCGCGGGGAAAAGGAGTTGATGTAAACCAAGGTTGCGGTTCTGACTCTCATGCTCAAGATCGACAATCTCAACTTCAGATGTTGCAACAATGTTTCACTCTGTACAGGTTCCTCGCAACTTCTCACCAACAAGATGAGACCGCTTCTTCAGCATCAATCACCAGCGCAATCTTGACTGCGTCTTTGGCGGCTGCGAGACCACATTTCGAGTCTGGGCTGCTGTCGAGCTTTCCAGCGCCGACCGAGACAGGCTCTCCACAGGCCGGCTTAAGAACTGGGAGCTGATCTGCAGGCCCTCGCCGAGGGTTTGACCGATTGAGCCGCCTCGATTGCTGTCATGGGTCAAGTGCAAGGACTTGGAACTTCAGCAAAGATCTGCGTTCATGGCCTCCTATTTCCTGGACCATCCGAGCCAACTTCGTCCACATCTTCTGATGTGTCTGCTCCTTTGTCTTGAGCGCAAGGGGTCAAGAGAGCACTTAGCCGGTAAAGTCTTCTAACATTGATCAAGTGCACTCGGACCCACACGTTCACTTGCCCTGCTCTCCGTAGCTCAGTTTGCCATTACACGACCTGGACTTTACGGGGAGCAGAGCAAGTGAACGTGTGGGTCCGAGTGCACTTAATCAATGCTGAACGACTTTGCCGGCTTCTGTGTGTCTTTGTACAGGCATTAGTTTCCCCTTTTTCTTTCTTTTGCTTCTTGTGGCTTCTCACTGGGACCGAGCGTAGCAGCTGCTGTCTGCGAGGCCCGCCAACGCCAAAAACAAATTTTTGGTTTCTAACATGTCGAGATTCAGGTTTGATTTGATTCGAGCATGAGCTGAAGTTTTCAATGCCACTTACTTGTACAGTCGATTTGTTGCTTTTCTCTTCTTGCTTTCTTGCTTCGACCGCACAAAAAAAGGCAATTTTCATTAGTAGAGCAGAGGCTTTTTACCATAAGGTTTCAAATTGGGCGGAATTTTGCCACGCGAGCAGAAAAGGCGTAAGATGGCTTGTTTTTCGAACGCTTGGAACTTTGCCAAACCATGATGACAGACGAGATGGAGATATGATGGTGTTTGCTGAGAAGTTTACCACCTCATACGCTTCCTTTCCTCCTTTTTGGATATCTTTAAATCTTTTCCTGTCCTTTCTCTTTCCTTTATCTTTCCTAGGTTCTGGCCTTTCTTCTTTTCTTTGGTTTTATCTGAGCTTTTAGCTGGCTTTTGAAGCGGACTTGTTCTCCGACGAAGATCAGCGAGCGGGCTCGAGTCTTGGACACGTGGACTGCGTTGTCCGACGGCATTGGAACAGCCGAAATCTTGTGTGGATTCCAGTTGTCTTAGATCTTTCGCTTTTTGCCAGAGCTTGCAGTGCAAGGCCCTTTTTGCTGAACAGCCCACGCTGAGAAAGTCCGCACGCTGCAGCACGTGCGTATTCTCGTCCTCCAGGATCGCCCGCTATCTTTCCGTGTGTTTGTTTGTGTGGTTGTTGTTTTTTATTGGAACAGAGTGCTTTTTCTTTCCTCAGTTGGCAGATTAGCACTGCACTTGCGTTGTGGCATGCAACCGGCCGTTGCTTCATTTACTCGGAGTGTTTTGAGTTTGTGAGGTTGGATTGCATACACCCCCGTTTGATTCTGGTGTGTATAGGTTTTGCTTGTTGGGTACATCATTGGTTTTGATGTTGCTACAAGTTGCCAGAGGCTCACCGAGTTCCCACGATCATCGTCATGCGTTTGTTGTCGGGCGAAGCCATCATTGTCATCATCAACAGCATGGCCATTGCGTCAATCGGTTTCGGTTCGTGCGTGCTATCACTGTGTGTCGTAGTATTCAATCCTAGTGGGGCAATATGTGTTGTATTTTTTTTACATGAACTTCGGGATTCGATCGCAATATGTAATTTCTTGATCTGGTTCAAGCTTGGCAGCAACTCGCAGCTTCATGGCTGGTGCGCGGTGTCGTTCCACAACAGGCGTGGTGCTGAAACTTAGGTTCGTCAAGCTGAAAAAATGGTCTGTTTCCATGAAAGCATCAAGCGGTCTTGATCTGCATAGCACCAGAAGCAAGGAAACCAGCGATGACAAGAGTTATACGAATGACTATCATGGTGACAACAAGGTGGCAAAAGGTGGTGGGTTGTCTGCTTCTTGTACGGATATTTCTTAACACGACCAATCGTAGTTCTAATGACTCTAATAGCGATACAACCATAATGCTGAAAACGTATCCACCGATAAAGACAATACTTGTTTAGCTTCCAATCAGACTTCGCCTTATTCGCCTTGCCTTGAAAACCCAACACCTTCAACGTCTTAAAACCCAGCCTTAAACCCTTGTCGCCTGGGACCCTTGCATTCCAAACCACAAACCGTGAAGTTTAAAGAAAGAAGCCGTGTACAGCCGTCATGGGAATCTGTCGTGGGGCTCTTGAGGGGGCGCTTCCAGGACCGTTCAGGAACCCTAGGACGAACCTTAAGCCTTAAAACTTGGACCCCCGAAAGGTTCCCGAAGAGGTTCTATCATGGGGGTTTCGGTTTGACGTTACGGGATTCAGCTTCTTGTCCCTTAAAGGAAGCCTGTAAGGGAACCCTGTGCCGCATCGTTTTAAACCCTAAACCCTAAACCTTCTGGGCAACCCTAAACGCTTAGGGTCCCGAAGCCAATAGGATAACCCCAAGCCCTTACATGAACCTTCAACCTTTGGAGTAACCCTAGACCCTTAGCCCTAAAATTTAAGTCCTTTGAGTAACCTTAGACTCCAACAGATCCCGTATAGAACCCTGCAAGCAACCCTGAAAGCAACCCTGGCAGTAACCCTAGACCCTAGACCGTAAGCCTTAAACACCCCAAAACCCTGCGCCCCTAAACCCGTAAAGTAAGCTTGGACCTTGGGGATCAATATAGCCCAAAAGCCTCATTTTTTATGGTCTTTCAGCCCAAAAAGCCTTAGTATCTGAGTCCTTAGATCCCTCCTTAAACCCTAAACCCTCATAACCTTAAACCCTAAACCGTGTAGCCTGGACAGGAGGGGAAGGCCTCGAGCTCTCCGTCCTTACCGCTGCCGACTTGGGCCGGCAAAGCCTGCAGGAGCTCCTCGGGGGCTCCCTTAAAGGGGTCGCTTAAAGGGTTCCTAACGGGGTTCCTTTAAAAAGGCTCCTTAGGGTTATGAGGGTTCTAAAAAGGTTCTGGGTTTGGGTTCGTTTTGAATGACTTAAAGGGTTCCTTTCCAAGGGGTCTATACGGATGACTATAAGGGATACTATAAGGGCTTAGCGGGGGTTTTGGGTTTAAGGCTTTGGGGTTTAGGGGTTTCTGGGTTTGGGTTTGGGGGGTTTTGGGGTTTAGAGTTTCCGGCTTTAAGGATTCTAGACTTCGTTTGTCTATGGCTCTGAGGGCTGTTGGAAGGGTTTAGGGTTTCGGGGCAGCGGCCAAGGTTTCCTTAAGGAGGCTCCTCTCTGGGTGCGTTTAAGGGAATCAGGTTTTGGGTTGAAGAAGTTTGGGGTTCTGGGGCTTCGGTCTGATGGGGCTGGGGTTTCGGGTTTGCGAGCTCGTGTGAAGCAGGGTATTTGCAAAGCTTTTTTTTTCATGTGCCATTTGGTGCTTATTGGCTTATTGTTTGCGTTGTCCATTCGACTCGTAATCCTCTACATGCGCCGTTCAGTGCTGATGGCTTAGAAACTCTCCTTTGCTTGTACATCTGCAAAGGCTGGAGACTTTCGTCCCATGGATACGAGGTCTGTGTCCGTGACCTGCAACGTGCAACAGGATGGTGGCTGTGGTTCTGCTGGTGGTGTGTGAGGTGTCGTCGACGCCGTCGTCGAGACTGAGGTAGTGAGATGATGATGTGGTGGTGATGAAGATGACGACAAAGCGATCGTGTTGGCTTCCATTCCTGCTGCCGTCGTGGTGGTTGTCGTCAAGTTTGCTCGTCATGACAGCGAATCGTCATGTAAAGACGTTGCTGCGCATCGTAAAGAGAACTGCCTTGAATGCTGTCTGAGGAGCTGCAGCAGCCTGAACGTCGGCAGAGGAAGACCATAACAGACTTGTACGATGATCTCGAGGCCCTTCAGAGTCTGCAGGAGGGGAGCCCAATCCTCACCGATCAGAACTTCAGAAGAATCTCCTGGGGCCTTGCTGCCTATACCGTGGTGCGAATCCTCGCAAACCTCATCGCCGTTTCTTTCTGGAGTCGCTGGGATGTGGCCGACGATGCTATCCTTAGGCCCGGGTGAGCAGTTTTCGCCAGCCCAAATCCTGGATAGCAATAAGCCCCCAAACCACAAAGCCAAGTGCGAACCCTGCTATGAATCTTATCATAAAGACCCCTCGTCGAATAGCATCAGAGAGACCTCTACATGTACCGCTCCATAAATGCTCCTGCCCTTTTACGGGGCACCTACGAGTAGCTTTTCGGTTTCAGGATCTCGGATTCACCAGAGCACTACAGCGGCACCAAAATGCTCAAAATTCCTAAACCCTAAACCCTAAACCCTAAACCCTAAACCCCCTAAAACCTCCCAAAGAATCAAAGCCAACGAGGCCTCTGATTACTGGCTTCGGAGTTTGGTTCTTTCTACATCGGAGGGAGCGATTCTCACCGCGATCGATGCTGCATCTGGGTTGCCGTTAAAGAGAAGTAGCTTGAAGTTACCATAGTGGGGATATATGCAGTACATGATAGGGTTTCCTTACTGTAGTAAACCCAAACCCTGCTACAGTAGAAGCCAGAAAGTTGGAATATCATTATCGTAACCCCTTTAAGGTAAATTATAGGGGATCCTACCATTAATCCCTATTCCAACTTTCTGGAGTTCCCTTTCATGGGGTTTCCTTATTGTAGTAACTGAACAGCAGCCCAGGCACGTCTGGAGCCTCTGCACTCTCTGCTGCCTCGCCTCCTTTGTCTGTGCCGCTGGGACGAGGGGAGAAGGGGTGAGGGCTGTAGGGGTTTATACTATGGGACTGCTAGGCTTTATAGGACTTATAATGTAAGGTAAATAGGCTTTCGCCGGTTATAGGGCTTATAGGGTTTAAGTGTGAGGGTCGGGGTAGTTTCGGGTGAACCCAGACACCTGGAAATTCTCAATCACTAAACCGGTGCAGGGGGAACTGGGGCAGCCTTGAAAGAAGCATTGAAGAATTTCGGGTTTAGGATTGCACTAGTCGTTCCAGGTATCTCACAACAGGCCCAAATCCAGCATCCCACACACCAAACCGCAATCCCCAACCAAGCCCGAAACTTCAATACAATTCTTTCCTTAAACCCTGAACCCTAAACCCTGAACTCCCGAAACCTTAAACCCAGAAGCAATAGACCTAGGACAAGAGCATGATCGCCTTTGTAACTTGGGCCTGCAGCCGCGTGGATATCCAAGTTATCCAGTTCTGCTCTGGCACCAACGAAGGTGCGTGCAGCACGGTTCAGGGTCTAGGATTTAGGGTTTAGGATTTAGGGTCTTGGGGTTGAGGGTTCAGGGTTTAGGATTTAGGACTTAGGGTTTAGGGTTTTAGGGTTGAGGGTTTAGGGTTTAGGATGTCGAAGTATGGGGGATTAAGCCCTAAGCCAACAAACCCGAAACTCCCATAAAGCTCAAAACCGAAACTTCAAATCCAAAACCCCAAAACCCTGAAGTTCAAACTCGACACCCGAAACTCAAAACCCCAAACCCTACGCCCTAAACCCTAAACCCTAAACCCTAAACCCTAAACCCCTAAACCCGAAACCCGAAGCTCTAAACCCAAAGCTCTAAAGCTCTGGGGCCCTCCGGTTTCTGTCATTGGCAAACGTTTGCATCGCCGTTTCAGAGGTCTCACCACCTTGTGAATTCCCTTAATGATGACCCCCCGATTTCATTATAGGTAGTGTGCTGGAAGCCTAAAGCTCGAAAGCCTAAGGAAGCAGAGGAAAGACGGCCCGATTTAGAGATTTAGGGTTTAGGGTTTAGGGTCTCGGGTTTGGGGTTTAGGGTTTAAGGTTTAGGGAACATAAACCCTAAAACCTAAACTTCAGATGTTTTGAGCAGATTCTGGTGGGCTCGGCAATCGTGGGACGAGCTTGACCGTCTTCCTGTGGCAGTTGCTTTGCAACGTCATGCAGGTGCCGTTTCTTCGAGGTTCGAGGTTGGGGGGTTTCAGGCAACAAGTCGCGTCAGCGGTTCAGGTTTGGCATGTCCCTAAACCCTAAATCCTAAACCCAAGGCCGTAAACCCTAAGCCCTAAACTGTGTATGTGTGCGTGTGCGTGTGCGTGTGTGTGTGTGTGTGTGTGGGTTCCGTTTTGCTTTTCCTGTCGCGCCGTAGGTGATGCGCACGCAAGGGTGGAGGTCCCTAAGCCTTGCCTTAACCCGGAATAACCTACCTTTTTAAGGACTTATATAAGGAAATCACAATAAGGAGCCCCGAAAAGGTAGGTTATTCAGGGTTAAGGTAAAGTCTCAACGCATCCCGGGTGGAGGTGTCGTGGGAATATCTTGAACTCAAGGCCCTTACTTAAGTGCCGTGGGAGTTTAAGGGGGGGGGCCGGGGGTTCAGGATCTTCGTCACCTTGCACCCTGCAGGAAGGCTAGGGCTTAAGCCGTTCAGCCCTAAAGCCCTAAACTTTAAACCGAACTAAGTGGGGTTTAGGGCTTAGGGCACCAAGCCTCACATCCCTGGCCCTCGCCCATGAACCCGTGCTACACTCTGGTCTCAGCGCTCAAGTATCCTCCTATTGTGTGGGCCGCGGACTGCGCATAGAGACCTAATCGCTAGACGTCGAGTTTGGGGTCCAGGCGTTTGCATGGGTTTGGTTCAAAGCATGGCAAGAGAGCCAACGACGGTTTAGTTGAAGACTACACAACACAAGCCTTGAATGGTAAAGGCTGAATAATGTGAATAATGTCATCAAGGGCTAGCTCCTTACGGGGAATTGGGCTTTCAGTGCCTAAACTAAGTGCCCATGCGCTTATGGCTCGAGTGGAGAATAGCTGCAATGTTTTGCTTGAGTAAGTATCCATGAGCCACCTCAAGTAAAAACTAACTGATGAGTCGGGCAACTGTCCCGTTCGGGCTGGCTAGAGCATGCTTTGTGGGCTTACACAGGAGTGGGGTTCCTGCACGAAAAGCTACATATGATACATTACGTGTTGTACAAAATGAAGGAGAACACCCCCCAGAGAACCTTACTTTCTAGTGAGCTGTCCAATGAAAGGTGCACATGACGAACAAGAAGATGTCTGCCCTTGACTGGTGGCACACTGCGCAGTGCTGCAAAGGGCTGTTCCTCGGTCTGGTTTGTCGGGTTCTGCTTTAAATAGTGAATGTTGCAAGCCAAACCCTAAACCCTAAACCTTTTTCACCCCGGCTCCATACTCCCATGAACGATATAGAAGCCTGCGATATTAGTAACGAATGCTTCGTGGTTCCTTCTGTATAATGTGTCAACCATCAAAAAATCTGTTCCAATCGTTGATGTCCCGAAGATATGCTCGGCTCAAGGATCACCATCGGACTGGCATCCTCGGTATTCCTGGTCGTAAGGCGGCTCCTCTTCGTTGAAAGCAAGGCCCTCTACCAAAAGTACCGGGTCAAAAGCAGTTACTAATATTGGATACCATGTGGTTCCTGAATATGGATACAACGATAATCTAACAATTAAGGCTCTCTGTGAAATTCTCTCCGTCTGCTTCTCTTGCCGTGGCTCTTGGGTTGTCTCCTTAGTATTCACAACCACTCAGACCCCGTAAACCCCAAGCCCCAAACCCTGACCCTTAAACCCTACTTGGGAAGCCAGGCAATCCCGATAAGCCCGAAGCCCTAAAACTCTGAGCCCGAATCCCTGAAGCTGTAAATTAAAACCCTTCAACCTGGCCCTAAACCCTTAAATCCTAAACCCCTAGACCCGGCCCCAAACCCTGAACCCTTAAGGCCCAAATCCCTGAACCCCAAACACCCGAACCCTAGCCCCGACCCCTTAAAAAACCTAACCCTTGTCTTAGAAGAGTTAAAGCTTTAAATGTAAATCCTCAACTCTGAGACCCCAAGCCCCAAAACCTCAACACCTAAACCCTTGAACTCCAAGTCTCTGAACCCTAAACCCCTAAGCCCTAAACCCGTAAAGGCCAAACCCCTGAACCCTAAACCCGCAAACTCGGAGAAAGGGTTAGTGCACTTTAAAACAAGCCCGCAAACTCTAAACCCTTACCGTTCAAACAGGGGCCTATCTATACATATTATATATAGATAGAAAAGGGTTGTCGGGATGACTTTAATCAAAATCCTTTTCCATTTAAAGGTCTTTATTTTCGATCCTAAACCCCTAACCCTTCAGGCCTTAACCTTTATCATAGAACCTGTATTACAAAAGCCTAATTATGGGCCCCCTGTGTGTAGCACCTATTCATCCCCTAAAAACCTTGTTCTAATCATTACAGGCCCCCAGTTTAAACCTTTATCTCTAAACCCCTAAACCCCGAAACTTTGAAACCCTAATCCCTAGACCCCTAAACCCGAAGCCCCTAACCTAAACCCGAACCCCCCAAACCCTAAACCCCCAAACCCTAAACCCCCAAGCCCTAAACCCTAAACCCCTAAACCCATTTTGGCTCAAGCCATTTTGGCTCAAGGCTGAACGTTCACTCGTGAGGTCGCCGCAGAGAGTAGCCGAGGGTCGCATTGGGTTCGGGAGGACGTTCTCTTCTGCACGATCCTCCGCCTCTGTGTTGTTCGGGAGATCGCGTCCCGCTACCTCTAGGTGACGCTTCGGATCAAGGACATGGCCGCCAAAGCGGGGCTCCACATTGGGTTGCCCAATGTTCCAGACGATGCCGACTTGGACCTCGACGAGGGCGGGGACCGGGTCAAGAGTCGGGGCGACGCTCATGAGGACAGTCCTGCGAAACGCAGCAAGGGGGCACCGGCTGCGGAGGCGGGTGGAGTTACCATGGACGCTATCAAGGGGTTGCTGGCCTCCGCCCTGCAGGAGCAGAGCTTTAGCTTGCTGCAGGCACAGCAGGCGCAAATCAACTCCTCCTTGACCGCCTTTGAGGAGCGACAGTCGGCCAGACTCGTGGGGCTGGAGACATCCGTCCAGCAACAGGGTGAGGAAGTCCGTGGGGTACAAGGGCAACTCCAGGAGCTTGCCCAAAGGGTTACTCAGCTTGAATCCGGAGTTGGGGAGCAGGCAGGGCGTGCAGGACCAGATAGGAAGCACACCCTGGTCTTCGGCGGCTGGGGGGCCAACACTCGCAAATCAGTGCTTCTACACCAACTACAGCAGGCGCTCTCCGGGCTCAAGCTGCTGCCCTTGCTCGATGCGGAGCCGTTCTGCACAGGGGCCAGGAGATCCGTGGCGCTTTGCCCCTTCAAACGCCGGGCACATGAGGCGGAATCAGACACCAGAGCGCGCATGCTTGAGATCATCCAGGTTGTCGGAGCCAGCAAGGTTGAGATTGAAGGTGCAGTCCGTCCACTCTGGGCTTCGTTCAGTAAGTCCCCCGAAGAGCGCGGCCGAGCCGCACTCGCGGCCGTCGTGCGCAAGGTGGTCCAGCGTTGTGCCCCTCATCGCATGTTGGACCTGGACGTGGAATACCCGTCGGGAAGGACGTGGATGAAGGAGGACCAACTGTCGGGCATGGGGGCCGCTCCGGATGAGGTGAGGAACGCCAAAGTGGTCCAGACGAAGGCAGGGGCCGGCTGGTTGGATGAGCGCACCTTGGCGCGGTGGGTGGAGACCGACATCGAGGCCGTCCGCGCGCATGTGGCTGAGCATCGCTTCTGAGAGGGTGACGTTTGTGCTGATCTCATGGGTGAGTCCCTCCGAGACCCAAGTGATGCTGCGCTGTCAGCTTCGGGCCCAGGGCCGTGCAGTCAGCTGGCTGGTCAGGTTCAGTCCGGTGAGCGATTGCCTATCCTTGGCTGGAACGTCGGCGGTGCAGATCTCTTTGCCCTGCCAAAGGCAGTGCGTGATGTCCTTGGACGAACCTTCCAAAAAGATGAGCTTGTGGTATTGCAAGAAGTTCCTAGGGTCAAAGCAGGGTGGAGTTTCCAGGAGGTCGCAGGTCGTCGTGTTGTCTCGCACCAGGCTGCAGATCAGTGGAGGGGTACCGGCCTGTGGTACGACACGAAGGAATGGTGTATCCTACGGAAGCTGGGGACCAAAAAGGGCACATGGCTCAAGCTCAGGCGGCTGCAAGGGGGCGAGGAATTGTGGTTGGGTACATGCCATCTCTCACCGGGTACCTCCGTTGCACAGTTCGAAATTGAAGCACAAGATCACTTTGAAAGTCTGCCGGTGAATGCTCGCACGGTCGTTTTTCAGGGGGATGTCAACACGGGGTTTACATGGGCAGAAGACAGAGATGGGGTGGATGCAGTTGCCAAAGAGGGTAAAGGGCACATCTTGCACAAGATCCTCATGGAGAGAGGCCTCAAGCTCGGGGTCCCGCAGCCAGACCAGTTCCTCACGCCAACCAGCAGACCGAGAGACAGTAAACGGCAAGGGCAGTGCGTTGACGTCATGTCTTTCAAGGGTATCCGTTTTCAGTCCTGGCACATACACGTCGACTCCCATATGAAGGTGGGCACAGACCATGAGATGTGCGAGTCTGTGTTCAAAGTTCGAATCCAGAGAGAACATCCCAGACACGAGACATGTCCCCGAGAATGGACTGGAGGGTTGGAGTCTGTAGAGCACCTGGACCAAGAGGCGGTTGAGGCGATGGCGAAGGCACACACGCGTCCAAAAGGGGGGCACGGCTACAAGGACCCTGACGAGGTCAAGCAAGCGTTCAAGACAGCTAAACGTTCGGGGACGGCAGCCTCTTGGAAAGCAGCTCTCAAGAAACGCAAAGAGGCTCGCAAGGCATGGGAGTGGGAGAGACTCGTCCGCGCCAGCGAAGGGGAGTGGCACTCGTTCAAGGCGCTCAAGCCCCGCAGGCAGGAGGGATGGGATGTCACCTTTGCGGAGGCACAGGTTGGTGACCCCCACGAGGTGATCCACAAACACCTTAGCGAGGTTTACAAAGGGCCTGAGTTACCGGCAGCGGAGACATGGACAGGGGACATCAGGGTTTTCACTGTGGAGGAGCTGAGGGTAGGTGTGTCGCAGATGAAGCGAGGGAAAGCAGTTGGGTCTGATCTTACGTCCACGGAGCTGGTCCTAGGGCTGATGTCTACCCCCGGCGGTGAAGAACACTTACTTCAGTGGTACAACAGGATTTTGGTCACTCAGCAAATACCCGCCAAATGGAACGAGCCAGTGTTGGTCATGCTCCCCAAGATACGGGCACCCCGGAAAGCCAAAGAGCTGAGGCCTATCGCTATGGGGTCCGCGGTCTCCAAACTTTTCAGCCGGCTCCTGCTCAACCGAGCCCTCCCGCATATTGCCCCTCAGACATATGCTCAATGCTCTGGTGCAGGAAGACAGACTGCCGATTTCCTCTTCACGGCCATCCGGTTGTTTGAATTGGCACGTGAATGGGGCAATCCGTTGGTTGTCTTTAAGCTCGACTTAGAGAAAGCCTTCGACAATTTGGAGAGAGGGGTTCTCCTTGCCAAACTGGAGTCGAAGTTGGGTCAGGGGGCCGAACTGAATTGTTGGAGAGGGCTACTTCGAGGAACGGTGGGGCTGCTCCAGACCCCTTGGAGTTCGTCTAGGGTCGCAATGGATCGCGGAATAAAGCAGGGGGCGGTCGAGTCTCCTACCTTTTTCGCCTACATCGCTGAGCTCGCCTTGGCAGACACGATAGAGACCCACGGGTGGAGACACATGCCGGCCCTGTACCCGGGGCTCCCCCCGGAAGAAATGCTCTACATGGACGACGGCCTGTTGTGGAATGGCCTTCCCCAAGTCGTCCAAGCTCGTGCTCAGACTCTGTCCACTCAGCTCAGCAAGTACGGCCTCAAGTTGAACCCCCTAAAGTGTCAACTGTATGCTTCCACCAAGGTGACTGAGCGGCGCTTCATTGTTCTAGATGGGGTTACGATCACTGCCCAGGCTCAGCTCGAGGTCATGGGCATCACACTTCGGGTGGGGATGTCGATCTATGAGTTGGTGGCACCCACAGCATCCAGGGCTAGGGCGAAATTCTGGGAACTCCGGCATATCTTCAGGGCTCGGGGGAACATGAAGCAGAGGGCTAGGGTTATGGAGCGCGTGATTGGTGCCACGGCGCTCTGGTTCATCTGCGCGGTACCTCCAGACAAATCGGCCATGACTGCGCTGAACGCCACACAATTGCAGTTGATGGTGTGGCTTCTCCGCTTTGCCAAAACGAGTACCGAGACATGGGAGGATTTCCGTAAGCGAGCCTTCAGGGGTGCGAGGTCAGCCCTACACTCGGCAGGGGTGGAAAGGTGGAGCACATTGTGGCTGCGCAGGTACTGGCGGTACGCGGGTCATAGAGTTCGAGCCTCCCTTTCTCCGGTCCCGCCGATAAGTACTGAGGTGGAGTTCTTCCGAACCCTGTCATGGTGGCGGTGGCAACAGAAGCGCAAGAAACAGCATGCTGTCCTACACAAGGGGCACCACTATGCCCGGTTAACGGTGCTGGAGCAGAGTCTTGACTCCGTGGCGGGCTCGCCCTGGAGGGACCTGGCATACGATCGGAGGGCATGGGCACATCGGGAGAACGCTTGGGTGGCACACATGGACGTTCCGTGGTCATCGGGTCGACAGTTGTCCATTGCAGACCTGTAGATCCTTGCCTTCGCACTCCACTCACCGAACTACTTGTGAACAGTCAGCTGAATTCGAAACCTTTTTGTTGAAGAACGCATGGGAAAACCCCCCCCCTTCCCTCCCTACCCGCAGTTAGCTTTGCCGCTCCCTTTTCCCAGGGTTCTTCTTTTCGTATCTCATATTTTACTTCTCCAGTGCGTCCTCGCAGAGTGAGGGTCGTGAGAGGGCAGTCAGTCTTTCAACATGTCGGTTGTACAGTCTGGCGACAGCTTGATGCACAGTGACGGTGTGGCATACCTGATTCAGCGATCGAGCCTTTAGCTAGTCTCTCGCGACCGGCCGTGGTGCAGCCATGGCTGCCTTCCATATCCTCCATCTGGCCGTGATGGCCTTTTGCGCTTGGGCCTCTCCTAAGGAGTGTGGCCGCGCCAACATGGACGCAGAGATGCATGTCGGTTCCTTCGAGACCTCTCCTGGAGATTCCAATGTTTCAGGGATGCGGCCTCCGGCCGCGGGACCAGCTTGTGATGCGACGACGACTCATGCCCACACACTGCCAGGGGTCACCTCGCAACCTACCGAGCCATGGATTCAACATGATGCGGGGGCTCTACCACCTGATTCCCCGGGAGGTGACCAAGCTCGGCGGGAGCAGTACCCCGACGGGACCTCGAACGGCACGATCAGGGACTCCTCCAACGGCACGACCCGGGACTCCTCCACCGCGGCGCAGCGACGGGCACCTCGCCCCATTTCGGGTGACCTGCTGCCCCTCTGTTCTTGGTTGAACTCCGCATGTTCTCGGCTACAGCAACTCCGTCTGCAAGGGGGTGGCCGTGAACCTGTATGGATGGGGGTCATCCGTCGAGTTGTCAGCCGGGGGCTGGATGACTACACGGCCTGGGCGAAACGCTATCTGCGAGGCATCCGACAGGAGTTCGGCCGAACTCTTCAAGCACATCTTCACACCCAACCCCTGACCTGGGAGGAACGACGATGGGCCATGGATGTGGAGTTCGCCTGTTATCAAGACTATATCTCATCAGGTGGCTCAGGGCAGGGTGGACCGGCCGGTCCTATTGCAAACCACGACAGCGATAATGTGCCCTTGGCCGGTACTCAAGTGCCGCCTCCGCAGCCGTCGTATCCCTACGGGTTGTTCCATGCAATATGGGTGGACACAGACACCTCCACATGGGGGACGGAAGGGCATGGCCCCGCTTCGGCCAGCAACCCTGGAGGTGACCCATCTAGGGCAGACGGTTCGATCCGGAAAAGACGGATGAGGTCGAGCTACTCTCGCTCTCCACCTCTGTGACGGTGGCCGCAGTCTTCCGAGCTACTGAAGGAGTTGACGACGAGTGGGGCCCGTCTGTGCCGGGGTGGTACTCGGATATGGTGGAAAGGGCCCAGCTTGACTTGGACAGAGGCGCAGATCCGGAGGTGCTCTGCCATCTCCTCTCGAAGGCTTTCGTCCCCTACACGGATATGCAGGAGTGCCAAGTGGGGCAAACCTGGCTTCGGGACATGCAGGCCCGGCTCCGGTTCTACACCCCCAATCGTGAGGACCCTATCATCCGGAGGATGGGCACCCCGACCGTGGAAGAGATCCAGGACCGTGTGGAGTGGATCGCAGGCACGGTTAGAATGCACTGGGAAAAGCTCATGTGGCCGGACATGGTCCGGGCAAGGCAGCAGCGGGAAGATCTACGTGAGCTTCAAAGGGCCATGGAACAATGCAAAGACGAGTCTGCGGACCCCCACAACCCGATGAGTGGCCATGTCAGTGGGCCTGTGACAAGGGGCCCCCGGACTGCCTTGTCGGTCTCGTCTCGGCTTAGCCGATCCAGAAGCCGCGGAGACGATGATGCATACAGTCTCTTTCAGATGCCCGCCAGTCTGGAGGAGCAATGGGAAAATGTTATGAACAGGTTCTGGGGCTGGTTCGAAGAAGGCCGTGCTGTGGGCATCGCCATCATGATGCTCCGGGAAGTGGCCCAACAGCGGCGAGACACGCTCTATGATCGGTGGTCAGCTCGGCCCATTGAGACGATCGCAGTGGGTATACCAAACAGTGAGGGGCTCACTGCTGACTTGACGCCTCTCGACTTCCGCAACTGGGCTGAGGCGGCGGAGAGGCTGCTCCATGCGGCCTACACCAGGGATAGGGACAATGACAGCCTTCAGGTCCCCTCCCAGGGAGATACCTCCAGCCTCATGGAGAACAGGTACCGGAATGGACGAAGGCGGATCCGTGACTCAAGGACGCCGCGACGGGAGAGTCGCACAGCTCGAGACCGTCCAGGAAGCCGCGGTCCAGAACCGCGGCCCACGACGTCAAGGGGTGAAGGGACGAGCCGAGCCCATCGCCGGAACAGGTCAGACGACTATGTCACGGTGACGCTGGATGAGCCCACCACAGCGGAGCCGGCGTCGGGGAGCAGGGATAGATGTTTGCCGCGAAACCGACCCACTATGCCGAGCCTGACGTCTCCGCTGTCCACTACACAGGCAGCGGGCCTATGGCGCTTTCTTCTCTTCAACAAGACGGAGTACGACCCACCTCAGGCGGGGCAGGGTCGAGTCCCCACCAGTTTCCTACCTCCCTCTACGCTCAGGGAGATCTCCACGGTGCACGAACACATGTCGCCACAGAACAGGCTGACCTCCACGATCGCCTTCATCACAGTCCTGCGCTACCTCATGAGCGAGGTGTCCCAGACGCTTGATGTGTCGGAGGCAATCGCCAGAAGTGCTGAAGGGACTCTGCAGTCTGAAGAGCTGGAACCTGAGGAAGGAGACGAAGCTCGCCTTATGCAACAAAGTCTTGGAGATCTCCTCCTCAACTCGCACGCCCAGCGCTGGACCAGAGCCTTGATGAGGCTGCAGAAGGAGCTATCGGGACAGGAGCCTGCGCAGCGCTCTCTACATGTGCGTCGTCTACGGCAAGGTCTGGCTGGCTGTGCGGATGCTAGAGGGGAGTCCTGCCTCCAGCTGGAGGCCCTGCTGCTGGCAATGGACTGCGACCAGTCAGGGGTCACGGGTACCGCGACGGAGAACACCATGTGGATTTCACAATGGTTCGGAGAACTAGGGGTTCTGCTGCAAGGTTTTGGGCTGCCTGCTCCTGTGGATACGGTGTCAAGTGCTCTGGCAAGCTCGGCAGAACAGCTCAACAGCACGAGGGTGGGAAGCACAGAAGAGGACCGGGATATGGACCACCTCCTTGAGGATGAGAGGGAAGCGACCAGGGACAAGGAACTTCGAGCAGCCGAACAACATGAACAAGAACAGCGAGAGGCGGAGCATGATTGGCTTCGGGCACAAGAGCTACGGTATCTTCAAGAAGAGGCCAGCCAGGCACAAAGGGAGGAGGACGCCATTATGCAAGAGGCGTTGGCTCGAGCCCCTAAAAGGCGTTGCGTTCTGGGAGTGGAGATTGCCTCGAGTTCCTCTGACGTGCCCCGGGTACTACACACTCTCAGCGTGGAGGTTCCAGACAATGGGGACCCGGTGGCAATCCGGATTTCGGCCTCGATGGAAAGGGATCCTGATGAGGTCACGACGGTGGCCGTGGCTACTCCTCAGGATGCGCCCCGAGCTGAAGTATGTCACCCTGGGCCACATGGGGGTTGCCCGACGTCCCTGGAGTTTGACGAATACCAGGCCCTTTACGAGGAGTGGACTGCGGGGAGGAAGCTGTTGCAGGATATCCAGCGACAGTACGGGCATGAGGTCGCTGAGCTCCTTCAGGCCCAACGAGCTGTGGCCAAGGAGGTTGATGATGACTCAGTGGCGGCCAATGACAATGGCAGTGGGGTAGGTTCTGTTACTGCTGGGCCTTCACAGAAGCCGAACACGGAGGCTGCTGTGCCGTCCGGGCTGTCTCCCATGCTGTTGCCCGGCGAACCGAAGGTCCGTTTCTGCCTATTTGAATCGATCTTTGGGCAGTACAAGGCGGGATGGAGATCTGCAGCTATGGTTGAAGAGGCCTTCGGCAGGACGTGGTTGGAACTGTTTCGGGCATGGCAGGCATGGGGGCTTCCTGCCATCGAAGGTCATCTCCAACAAGAACTCGACATGAGCCCATCTGTGCCGAATGTCCAGCCGCCGGTTATCCCAGATCAGTCGCCTGTGGTCTTGCCGCTGGTGATACCATGGTCGTCAATCATGCCGGTCTTCTTCTCCTGGATGCGTGGTGATGTGTCGAATGAGGCGGTGAAGGAGAAGCAAGGAGAGGTATGGCTTCAGTTGTTCAGGTCCATCCGTGATGGGGGTCTGAGCAGGGCACGGGCGCTCTCGGGGCATGTGATCGCGTGGGACGTCTCGGATGAGGAGACCAAGCACCTGGCTAGGGCAGAAGGGCTTGCTCAATGGGCTGGAGTGTGGTCTATACCCATGCCGCCGCTGCAGACCGTGATCGACGGGACGCTTGTAGAGTCGATGGAGAGCAGTCAGGATGTAGTAGTGCACCAAGAGTTACCCGATCCTGAACTACCGCAACGTGAAGGGGGTGAACACCACAGTGAAAGGGATGAAGGGTCGCAAGAAGACAAGCAGGGGAGTACGTGAAGTTCTGAGAGACTCAGGGTCAACAGGCCTTCCACACATGTGGATTCTGGACGTTTAGCCGCGGCGAACAGACGGAAAAAGGCGTTCAAAAAAAAAAAAAACCCCTAAACCCCCAAACCCCTAAATCCCCAAACCCTCCTTTAAACCCTAAAGGTGCTCGACTCAAACTTGAAGCTCTGCCTTGTCTGTTGCTTTGCGACGCTGGCGTCACGTCTGAACGCTTTGGGTTGAGGGGTCCTTAGAGGGTTCCTGAAAGGGTTCCAGAAAGGTTTCCATAATGGTTCAGGCTTGCATTTGACGGCTTTGGGTTTAGGGTTTTAGGCTTTGGGGTTGGGTCATTTAAGGCCTTAGGATTTAGGGTTTGGGACCTTAGGGGTGCTTAGACAGGGTTCTGGTTTGAGGTCTTGGGTTTTAGGCTTTGGGGTTTAGGGTTTGGGGTCTACAGTTTTTGGCGGTGTGTATTTGACGAATTTGGGTTTCTATAACGCGTTTTATCGGGGCTCTGTCAGGGTTTATGTATCTGTGAACGTTTAGAGTTTGTTGCAATAGTATAGTTGCGTGTCTAGCGGGGGTTCAGGGCTTGTGGTTCAGACTGAGAGGTGTTTATGGCTTCAGCTGCCTACTGTCTTGAGGGTCATGGGTGTCATAACTTGAGTCATTCGAGTCATAGGCCGCTATTCAAAGGTGGGTTTGGGGCTTTTGGTTTAGGGTTTGTTGAGGCCCTAAGCCCCAAAGTCGCATTGCGCCGTCTTGGTGCACTGTGCAACGCTCTTGGCAGCCACATGATAGGCCTTGAACATTAGCGTATTCAGTAGGGTTTAGGGCTTGAGGGGTTTAGGGTTTAGGGGTTTAGGGCAGGGAGCCCGAACCCCCCAGCCAAAATTCATAGGTCGTCTATGTCTCGGTGCTGCAATCTTTCCGTTTGATACGCTCCTACATCCGGCAAGGCCGTCGTCGGCCAGCTTAGGTTCACTTGGTTTGCCAGCCGAAACAACAGGGGTGGAGGTAAGGTGCCTGCAACTGAAACCTGAAACCCTAAATACCAAACCCGAGACCGTAAGCCCCAAATCCTCAAGCTACTTACCTTGTTGCGCCAGACCCCGTAGGTCCTTCAATGTGGGGCTTTGTGTCACACTGCCACCAGTGCACTGCTGAATGTCAAGCACGACGAGACCATCAAATCTACCGCGCGCTTTCTGTATCTCAATGCTGCACTGGTGATCCTTGGCTACTTCGTAAGTTTTTCCTTTGTCCTCGTATAAGTTGTTGAGGGAGGTTGTTTAGGAGCTCAAGCAGGATGGACAAGCCCTAAACCGAAAGCCCAAAACCCAAGCCCGCCAAGCCCTAATCCGCAGTCGTAGGGATTTTGGTTTCGCATCGAACAGGGCACACCAAGTTCCGCAGCTCGCCCTCCCCACTGAGTCCGTCGGCTAGGGTTTATCCTCGCACTATGTCTACGTTCGTGCACAGCACAGAGCTATGGTTAATCGGGTTTTCAGTGGTCAATCATACTGTTGGGGCTCAAATCTAAATACCATTATTTTGGGATTATAGCACCAAACTTTCAAAATCAAGTTCCTACATTTTGTGCTTACTAGATATCCAGACCCTCAATCATGACAGTACACAGACCTGCAAAGCACAAAAAGCTTGCAGGGTCCCCGGTGTTTAGGGTTTGTAGAGGCTTTAGGGTTCTTAGGGCTTCTCTTTAGGGCTGAGGGCTTCCGGCTTAGGGTTGACCTCGGGTTTTAGGGCTCTTAGGGCTTCGAAGCGACCTACCTCGCCCGAGCCCGAAGCCCCAAAGCCCCAAAGCCTTAGGAGTTTAATAGGGGTTTAGGGTTTAGGGTTTAGGGTTTAGGGTTTAGGGTAGGGTTTAGAGTGTTGGGGTACCTTAACGGTGTTTTGTGCCCTACGCCAGGCCTTACGAAGTAAGCCTTCACGTGAGCTAAACGCGTAAAGCCCTTCAACACCACATCCCTAAACCGTAAATCCCTAAACCTGCACCCTGAAAACTCTAAGAGTCCGAAACCCTAAACCTGAGCATGACATTCCCCACGGAAACCTTGATAAGAACTCGGAAAAGAACCTTTGAAGAAACCTTTCTCGAGCCCCGAAGCCCACAGCCCAAACCCGAACCCTTAACCCGAAACCCAAAGCCCTAAACCCATAAGCCCAAAACTTTGAATCATAAACCCCTGAAGCCTAAACCCGAGTTCCTAGACGTTCGACCCTAAATCCCACACCCCAAGCCCTAAGTCTTCAGACCCTGAATCCTAGTTGTCACAAGTATGCAGTGATAGGTTAATGATCTTCGCTTGTTTCAGCAGCGAATCGCCTCAAACCCGAAGCCTCTTGCCTTAAATCCTAAAATCATGCGCCCTCTTAGACTCGTAGAACCTCTGAGCCCTAAAGCCTTGAATCATAAAGTCTAAACCCAGCCCCTAAACCCCGAAACCCCTAAACCCCTAAAGCCCTAAAATCTTTTGGCATCCGAGGATCCTAGGTCCATTCTTTAGCTTCGTCGCGCTCTTCGACTACATCCAGCAATCCCACTCGACGAGATTGGAAAGCTCCTCGGTTGCTTTCGCGGCTGAGGGTGTAGGAGTCTAGGGAGTTTCGGGTTCGGGGTTGAGGGTTTAGGATTTTGGGGGTTTCGGGTTTCGGGGTTGAGGGTTTAGGATTTTGGGGGTTTTCGGGTTTCGGGGTTGAGGGTTTAGGGTTTAGAAGGTTAAGGGTTGTAGGGCTTGGGGCTTGGGACGCTTAGGGTTGATGGCTTAGTGGTGCAAGGGTTTAGGGTTGTAGGGTTTGGTGGTGCGGGGGTTTAGAGTTTCGGGTTTAGTTGCTTCAAAGACTCTTGTTAAGGAGCTACATATATCTTAAACAGGTCAGTAACTTTCTTGAGTGGGCTACGGCTACTGCACAGGAACATAGGTCACTGGCTATTTCCAGGTAACTTAGCTGACGAACTTACGTGCTCTTCGTTGTGCTCTTCGTTGTGCTCTTCGTAGCGTGTTTAAGGGTTCTTCCAAAGTTTCATAACGGTTTCAATAACCTGAACAGTGGCCACTGCGAAGGAAGGGTTTAAGACTTCGGGTTTAGCTGCTGGTTGTGTAGAACTTCTGGTGCGAACTGAGCTTAAGTTTCTCAACAAGAACCCAGCTTGCCAGCCATTGGGAGCATGTAATGCCGAAAGCAACGTAGAAGCCGGGGGCAAACCCACAGACCCTACTGTAGAGATTTAGTGGGTTTAGGGTTTAGGCTTTAGTCTAGTGCTTGGGAGATGTGGGTTTCGGTTTAGCCCTCAATCCTTTTAGTCCACTGTACCCCAAAGCCTTAAGCTCACACCCTAAACCCTAAACCCTAAACCCTAAACCCTAAACCCTAAACCCTATACCCCGAACCCTATACCCCGAACCCTGAACCCCTAACCTACAAGTTGCCCCCCCTACTCGAAACGTTTCGTCGAAACCTTTGGAAGTGTGAGCCCCACCTAAGCCCTTAATCCTAAGCCCTAGACGCTGAACCCCCAAACCCGAAGCCTCGAAGTCTCTAAAGCCTGCAATACCCTTGTAGAGTCCTTAAAGGCGCCCTTAAAGGTACCCCTTAGACGAACCCGCAAATGTCCAGGCTTTGAGCACTTCCATCCATTCCTCAAGAATCTGCCCACGGCGAGCCTGGACGTGCTCATCCAGGTTTCTGAGCTGTTGTTAAGGAGCTATGGGTTTAGGGTTTAGGGGATGTATGTCTGTATGTGTGTATGTATGTAGGCATGTATGTATGAATACGCCCCTTAGTTATGAAAACTTAACGTAGCGTTCTGGACAAGAGCAACAGATGCGGGCTGCTAGTTCGAAAGAGCTTCGAGTTGAAACGGGCTCAGTAGTCAGAAAGCTTTCCAGGCATAGGACAGGGTTGACGGTTTTAGGCAAGCTGCGAATTGGCTTACTCTTTGTGTTGGTGGTGGTATATATAGGTTTTTTCACCATGCGGTAATGGTTTTTCATGGGGTTTAAAGAGTTCTGTGGGGTGTCCACAAAGCGAGTTGGTCTTGGTAGGGCTGCAAAGCGGTTAGGTTTTAGGTTTGGGGGTTACATCATCCAGGTACCTGTCACCGGAAGTCTCAGCGAGCAAAACAAGTGCACCATGCACCAGTAAGTTGATAGGCACCCAGAATCGGTTTCGCAGAAATGCGTTGTTCCAGAGCTTCTTGGGTTTTTCGTTAAGCGTAAACCTGTGGACGGTGCTTTCCTCCCTGAAACGACCATGGAGCCCCGAAGGGCAGCAGCCACACTGGGCCACGTTCGCTGCACCCTAAACCCTAGGCCCTAGACCCTAAGCCTTAAACCTTAAACCCTAAACCCTACACCCCGAAAGCCCTTATCACCCACGGAGCTGGCAATCTCCAGTATTACTTGCCGTCCATCTTTCTCTACATAACCTCATCAAGAAGACTGTTAGGGCTTAGGGCTTATAGGGTTTAGGGCTAAGGGATGATAAGGAGGACCATAATACTACATTTCCCCAGAACCGAAGAGAGCAGAATTTCTCAGAACCCGCGTCTCCCGAAGCCCAGAGAGTTAGGGAGAAGCACAGACTCACTACGGCTTAGGGTTTAGAGCCTAGACTCGAACACTCCTTGATGACTCACTATACAAGACATCGTAGAGGACTCCTACATCTGATTTAAGGCACGTTCCTTGAAGCTGCTTTGGAGCCTCGCAAACCATCCTAAACCCTGAATCCTGAAGCCTTACTTCCTAAACCCTGAACCCGAAGCCAAGAAGTCCTTAACGGAGCACTTCAAGGAACTCTCACAGAGTCATCAATCCATGGAAAGAGCCCTTAACAGAACCCTGGCAGGTTTGCAACGCCCTGCTGCTCAGTGGCTTAGTTGGCCCGCGGCAGTGGGATCAGCCCATGGAAGCTTTCAGGCTGGGCCCCTAAACCCTAGACCCTAAACCGCGACAGGGGATTGGTTTAGGGGATCGGTAACGTAGGAACCTGATTAAGAAACCTTGGGCCTGTAACCCGAAAAGAATAGGATTCATATAAGAAACCCAAATAAAAGCCCAAGGTTTCTTAATTAGGTTCCTACATTAAGGGTTTAGGGTTTAGGAGGTCGAGGGTTGATCGGGGGTTTCTCCGCCCTTGTGGGGCGTTCCAAACAAGAAACGCGGGCGTTGTCAGGACGGGAGCAGGGCTTTAAGATTCAGGGTTTGAGGGAAGAGGAATTTGACGAAGCAGGTACGGGCCTTGACAGCAAGGACATCAGTCAGAGTGATATTGTGCATATCGACAGCATCGAGCAATCGTTCTCTCCGTCTCGATTGCTTTCCGCTTCTTGTGAACCCACGCTTGTATCTTTCACATCTCCGAATGCCTTGTGTTTCATTTGCGGTATCTATCTATGTGTCTGTCCGTCTATCTGTCTTTCTGTCTATCTACCTATTTATCTCTCTGTCTATCTATCTACATATACATATGCATAATTGTATACATATGCATATACATAATATAGCTATCTATCTATCCGTCTGCCCTTCTGTGAGTGACTCTCCATCCAGTGTTTTTCCGTTTCTTTCGTCCTCTTCCTACAGTACCGTTGATGATAGAAATCCTGCATTACCCATAAGAGGGAATCTACCACAATTCCCATAGTTTAGGGTCCTTAAGGTAATGCAGGATGTATATCATCAACCGTAGCTTCTTCCACTTCCGTCTCGCGCCCAGTCGCGTTCTCGATTTAGGGAGTTTCCGAAAACTAGGGGTACCTTGTTTTGGGGCCCTTTTTCCTCCTACTACGTAATTTGGGTTCCATCGTGGGACCCTTGTTTTCGGAAACTCCCATTTAGGGTTTAGGGTCGAGGGGTTTGTGGTTTCGGGTTTCGGGGTTTCGGGGTTTCGGGGTTTAGGGGTTTAGGGTTTTAGGGTTTTAGGGGTTTAGGGGTTTAGGGGTTTAGTGCAGTGGCGGAGTTTTGTGGCGCAGTGGATGCTCACAGGCTTTTCCGGTCCTCCCATATGCCAGGGTTGCAGATGTGAAGTATCCTAAACCCGCAACCCTAAAACCCTAAGTACCAAACTCCAAAGCCTTAAATCCTAAGCGGAGTCTGTGTCTCTTGTGCAGGAAGTTGGTGGACATGTCAATGTCTGGTTTCGATGGCTTGGCTTGCAAGCGCATCGCTTTTAATGGGCACATCAACGATGCTGCGCAGGACTGCGTGGTGTCCTTCCCTGGACACTACAGTGATCTCTGGGATCACGCCGTTCAGGCGGCGAAGGTACAGGATCGCTTCTCACTGGCCTGCGTCTTCTTGACTGACACTGAGCCACGCAGTAGTACTCCTTTACTCATTCTGCTTGTGTGGAGCGTCTTCGCTAAACTGCACGTTCGGATCAAGGGTACGTAGTTCAGTTATGATGCCCGAGTAAAGCCCTACAACACCATCGCAAGACCCATTTAACATCCATATACCTGGCAAACCAGAGAAAACGGACGGAGATGTCAGTTTGGGTGTTGGCCTTTGGGTTTGGGGTGTAGGGATCAGGATTTACTTAGAGTGTAGCGTTTACGTCCCCTGAACCCTAAACTCAAGGCATAGGCTATCCACCTACCGTGGGGGCGGCGCTTCAGCCCCTCGCAACAGATCGCGAAAGGCCGACCAGCCCGCCTCTCCACAGCCATGCGGAACGTAGCACCCGCGTCGTACGCTACCAAAACACTTTTATTAGTCAACACCCGAAATCCTAAGCTCGAGGTCCTGGGAGGTTGCCTGTTTTTGGACTCCCCAGAAAGGCAAGCCCCACCTGTGGGAAAGAAAGAAAGGAAAGCCTTCAATAGACAGGCTTTCACAGCGCACCGCAGTAATAGCATGCACTCAACACAGCCTTGTCTCAAGTAAATATCGCCTATGCATTATTCCACGGCAAACCCTAAGCCCTAAACCCGAAACCCAGAACCGAGGACAAAGATTCCGGTTTGGGGAAGCACTCCCGAAACCCAGCCACTGGGAGATGCTGGTGCCATGACATTTATGGCCCGATGGAGGCTTCCAATACAACTCTTGTGGAAGACTTTGGGGACTTTCGACTTTAGGGTTTAGGGTTTAGGACTTTAGGACTTTAGGGTTTATGACTTTAGGACTTAGGGTTTCGGGAGGGTTGCTAGAAGACGGTCATGGTTCGATGGAGGCTTCCATAGGGTTCTCTTTAGACTTCCGGGTTGAGGGTTTAAGGCTTAAGGTTTAGGGTTTGATAGACGCTTATTTGAGGAGTTTAGACAGGGCTACTAGAAGAGGGTTCGAAGAGACGGCTATCAAAAGAGAGTTACTACGGTTGATGATCCTAAACGGAATTAGGGCATATTCCTTATTATGGGTAATGCAGGGTTTATATCATCAACCGTAGAATATTGCGTTGAAAAAAGGTTGCTGGAAGAAGGTTCCTAGAGCAAGGCTACTGGAAGAGGGTGACTAGAAGAGAGTTCGAAGAGGAAGGCTACTAGAAGAGGGTTACCGACACCCGAAACCGTAAACCCTACATCCTAAACCCTAAACCCTAAAACCCTGCACCCTAAACCCTAACCCCTACACCCTAAACCCTACACCCTAACCCCTAAACCCTAAACCGGTTACAGTGTTGAAGAACGGAGGCCTCCAGCTACCTCAGCGTCATCGATCTGAACCCCGAGTCTCGCGCAATGTTCGGGATCCTGTTTGTGGGTTGATGGTTCCTGTTGCTATAAGGGTGCCTATGACGGATCTAAAAGGAGGGTTTAGGGGTTTAGGGGTTAGGGTTTAGGGGTTGAGGGGTTTAGGGGTTTAGGGTTTACGGGTTTACGGGTTTACGGGTTTAGGGTTTTAGGTTTAAGGGTTTAAGGTTTAGGGTTTAAGGTTGAGTGTGTAAGGTTTGGGGCTACGCGGTTTAGGGTTGAGCGTCCAGGGCTTAAGGTTTAGGCTAAAAAAGGAACCCCTAAGCTTTAAAAAGACAGCCGCAAGCCTCAAAAAGACAACCCTAAGCCCTAAACTAACCCTAAACCCTAAACCAAATCACCCTAAGCTTAATAAACTAACCCTAAGCTTCAAAAATTAAGCCCTAAGCCCTAAACTAACCCTAAACCCTAAGCCAGATAGCCCTAAGCTTAATAAACTAACCCTTTAAAAGAAAGAAATCCCGAAGCCCGAACTCCAGAAAACCTTGAACCCGAACCCTAAGCTAACCTTTACCCCTAAGCCAGATAACCCTAAGATTAACAGAAACCCTAAGCTTTAACAAGGAAAGCCCGAAGCCCCAGGCTCCAAAAAACCGCTGCGACCCAGGAGTCGGGGCAGCCCATCAGCAAGGAGACGCTGGCCTTCGAGAAGGCAGATGCCAAGGCAATGAACAAGGTGGGGAAGGAGTTTAGGGGTTTAGGGTTTCAGGGTTTTAGGGTTTAGGGGACTTGGGGGTTTAGGGTTTAGGGTTTTTGTGGACTTAGGGGTTTAGGGTTTAGGGTTTTAGGGTTTTCGGGGTTTAGGGTTTACGGTTCCGCTTTTTTGTGACATCCTTCATTTTTTTCTGACTGCGGGCCTTTTTTTCAGCAGTGGAACAAGGTGCGCTTGCTTTGCAAGGCTTCAGGGTTCGTTGTTTTTCGTTTTGGGTTTAGGTTTCTGTATTTTGGGATTCAGGGCTTTGGGGGTTACGCCTTAGGGCGTGTTATGAACGTCTGACACGTAGGTAGTATTCCATTCGGTTGTAGTCCCTATACGTTTTTAGCACGCTCAGCCAACTCATCCCACGCACAAACATCGCTGTGCGGCAAATCCGAAACTCATTCAGCCCTGACCTCAACCCTGAACCCTAATGGCCTATACTACCCTTTCCATCCGAAGCTCTAAACCCTGAAACCTAAACCCTTAACCCCTAAACCCCTAAATCCCTAAACCCCTAAGCCCCTTAACCCCTAAACCCCGAACCCCTAAAGACCTGAACCCCTAAACCCCTTCAGGTCGTTGTCATCAAAAGGGAGAAGATCCGGGGCTGCTCTTGGTCTCCAGGCTCCTTCAACTCAAAGCTGGAAGAAGCCCTGGTCCAGGAGTGCCGTTGCTGGGTGGGTGGGTCTCTCAAAGAGGGTGGTCGAGGGGATTAAGGTTTAGGGGTTAGGGTGTAGGGGGCTTTAGGGGTTTGTTTCGGGGTTTAGGGGTTTAGGGTCTAGGGGTTTAGGGTTTAGGCTTTCGGGGTGGTGTCCTTTGCTCTTCTTTGCGCAGGGGGCGGAGGATGGTGGGTGTGGTTTAGCCGAGCCCGTTCACAGATCAGCATAGGCCGTGCCTAAAAGTGCGGTTCCCTAACCCTAAAAACCTACAAGGCCCTTTCCAAAAAGCACTTAAGAACCCGTAAGAGCTGCTTAGGCGCCAGAGCCTGCCCTGAACCCTGAACACCTCCAAATCCTAAACCCTGGAAACCCCAAACAAGTAAGCTTGAACCCTAAAGTGCGAAAAGCCTCCCTACAAGCAGCGCACCTCAAAAGGTGGGGGAAGGGTAGGATCTAGGTTGGCTTGTTTGGAAGGGCTCTTCTCTTGGGGTCCGTCCAACCCTCAACATCCTCAGCCCTGAACTCCTAACCCTAAACCTTCAACAGCGAAGGTCCTATATACCAAAGGCCCTAAACCCCAAAGGCTGAAGACCCTAAGTCACAAAACACCCTTCTAAAAACAAGCCCTAAACCACAAAAACACCCTTGCAAAACCTAAAACCCTGAACCCTAAACCCTAAACCCTGAACCCTAAACTGAACCCTAACCCTAAACCCCAAAACACCCCTTTTTGGAGCCCTTTTCTGCTTCGAACTGGGAGGCCGAGTCCCGGTGCGTTGCGAACCAGCGGCGCCCTCCTTGGGGCTGTCGATGGTTCGAGGCCAGTTGGGTGCTTTTCATGTTTGTTTTTTTCGAAAAGATGTTATAAGGTGTTTAGGGTTTAGAGTTAAAGGGGTTTAGGGTTTAGGGTTTAGTGTTATTTTTGTTGGAGCAACGGGTTTAGTTTTCTTTCATAGTGTTGTGGGTTTAGGGTTTATTTTGTTTGGAGGGTTTAAGGTTTAGGGTTCGTTTTGTGATTATACACTTGTCTGGGTGCGATTGCATGCAGTTAAACTTGTGATTACGATCAATGAGGATGGGGATGATTATGGTTGTTGTTTTGTTGTTTATGTTATCAAATACAACTGCTGCATCGCTGTATGTATATATATATATATATATATATATATATACATATACAGCGAAATAAATGAGCAACTATATGATAGAAAGGGAGAAAGCGGAAGGGACAGGGTGCGGCAGATAGATAGATGGACGGATGGATGCATAGATCGATAGATAGATCGACACATTCCGTTTCATGTTATTCGTTTTTGAACTAATGTCTGGGCGAGAAGGGCTGGAGGCTCAGGGTTCAGAGAGTAAGCAGACAAAGAACATTAAAAAGAGTACCACTGACGACGGCCACAAGACTATCATCAGTTTAGCATTTGTTCAGCTCTCCGGTGCAAGAATCATCGCCGCCGCCGTTGCCATCGTCGCTGTCATCTTCGTCATTCCATGCACAGAATCAGAAGCATAATGATCCGCATCTGCGTGGCGATGGGGTTCATATCGTAACTGGAGGTTGGTTTCTGCATCTTGCTTGCGTGTACCCAGTTCGGGCCCCAGTAGCAAGCACAACTCATCTACGTACTGCCTGACAGTGCACGGTTGTCGCTGTTGTTGTCGCAATCATGATGTTTCTCGTGATGTTGCTTGTCAGTCGTGTCTGTGGCACAACAGATGCGACAGCGGCAGCGGCAGCAGCAGTTGTTGTTATGTTCATTGGTAGATTGACTGTTCTTGTGTTGCCTTGGTTCCTTTGCTGTTTGCAAGTGTATATTTCTACGGAACGATCACCCATGGCACTGAGAACATGAGCATCGCTTTCTATCCCTTTTTGTTGTGACGACAAACTAGGACCCCAATGGTTCACAATTGCCCAGGAGTGGAAGAACAACGTGGACAAAGCCATAGAGAAGGGGCAGACGCTCCACGTCTTCTACTTCGAAGGGAAGAAGGGTGAGGGGAAGATGGAATGGGAGAAGCTGTCAGACAGTGCCGCCATGAGTGAAGCCCGGGCCCATAGCGGCCTGGGTCGCTCGCAGACGGCTGAGGTTGCGTATCTCGACAGGCAGAAGGCCAAGTACGAAGAGCACGACATCAAAGACTTCGAGTGCTTCATGGCTTCTCGCAACCCTGTCGGGGCCAACAACAGATCGTCCGGCATGGACAAAAGTCGAAATCGATAGTTCGGGATGTTGTCATCATGGTCGAGCAATGTTCAGGGTTGTGTAAGCCATATCGTATGTACATATAGTATTACCTTGTATATACACACATATAGGCACATGCGATATGTATATGTATAGACAGATATGTTACACGTGTTGCAGACTTTTCCTGCTTTTGGTTCGGTCGCGCTGAGAGGGATGGGTGGATATGGGCGTGTCTTAACACTAGGGTCACTGGGGGTGCCTTGTGTAGGGGTCCTTGTATGAAGGATCCTTTTGTCCAGGGCCTGTATGAGGGATCGCCAAATGAGAATTGTTCATATCCGAAATCTTAAACCCTAAACCTCAAATTCGAAGATAAAGGCCCTACCCCAAATCCGCAGCCCAAAACCCTGAGCTCAAACTCTGTGGGCCTTCCCCCAGCCTGCCCCGAACCCTAACAACTAAACCCCAAATCTCGTGGGTTCTGAAGGCCTTGAATGAGCAGCGCCATAGCACAACACGCGCTGGAAGGGTTAGGGCCCCTAAACCCTAAACCCTGAACCCGGTTCAGGGTGTGGGACGTTTGGGTTTAGGGTGCAAGTTCATTTTGTCCAGCCTTGTGCACTGAATCAGGAGCACCCCAAACCCTAAACCCTAAACCGACTTGAGTTATCTTGAGTTCATGATGCGATTTTTTGGATTGCTTGTTTGCCGACTTCAAGCTTGCACAACGAGGGCATCTACTTAGCCACTGGCAGACACTCGTGCCTCAACATCAGTCTCTGCAAAAATCATCGTGTAGAAAGAAAACTCAGGCCAGAGCAGAAAAGGATTGCAACAGGAAGCATCATCTTTCGGCAGCAGCCGCAAAGCTCTATCTAATCTTCCCAGTGGTCAAAAGGCTAGGACCTCGACTGCACCACTTCTGTGCTGGGATGGATGCGTCCCCTAGCAGTATTCCAATCGGTCCCGCCTTCGCCAGGACAGAGTGCACTTTCGGGGGCAGGTTGCAAGTGCAGGGGTTGGAACAGTCGCAAACAATTTCCCCCTGCAGGCCCCTCCGCCAGACAGTAACCATGTTCCCCGAGCATTGTAACCTTGTATTCCTAAACAAAGCTGCGGAATTGCCCGGACACTGATTTCCAAGACCCTAAGTCCATCCTAACTATGCTCTTCATGCTCTAAGCCCCATCTGGGCAGTTCTCCAAATTAGGGCCAGTCTTGACTCCTCATTATAGTACCGCACCCATGAAAAATGACCGTAAAAGGGACCCTGATCTAGAGAACTACCCATATCACGTTTACCCTAAATCCTGCACCCAGTACGCTACATGTATCCAAAACTTTAATCCCTAAAGCCTAAATCCTGTACCTACATTTTATCCTAAACCTGAGTGCCTAAACCCTAAATCCTATACCCTACCTTCGCCCCATTCCCAAAACTAAAGATCCCAAACCTCGAGACTCTTTCTGAGCCCTTTGGTGGTTTAGGGTTCAAGGATTTAGGGGTTAGGTTTTAGTGGTTTAGGGGTTTAGGGTTTATGGCCCGAGACAGAGGAACTTGAAGCTTGCGACCCTTGACGTTATATTACGGTTTAAATAAATGATTGCCAGTATTGCTCCTTGCGGTTACTCAAACATGACAACATACCATGACAGACCTCAAAGCTTTATTCTGAGCATAGCTCTCCTAGAGGCTTTGATTCTGCAAAGATCGTGTCCAAGCCTTGAGCATGTGCGTTATCCACAAACACACACACAAACATATAGATACATATGCATAATCATACATATATACATGCATATATGTGTATATATATACACATATGTAAATATCTATGTTTTCTTCCCAGTGTCTACCTACAAATGTATATAGCAGGAGGACAAGAGTTTTGATAACCTAATGTATGTTTCTTGTCTTGAGACCTTGTGCGGAGTAGAGGAGTGCCCGGCGGCTCGAATTAGCTGGCGAAGGATCTTGTACGCAGTTTTTTAGCTATGAATCTACCATGGATTGGGTACTGCCGCCACTCAGTAACAGTTGAATAATAGTCATAATATAGATATATGCACAGTATTTTAGCTATACGCTTCATGGTTTCGGAGGATCACCCAGGAATTCATGTCTGTTCGGATTCTATGGGGGAATGGGCCTTTTTTCTGTGAAACTGCGAGGTAGGTCAAACTTTCGTCCTGCTGCAGTGGTCGTAGCTGTGTTTATCTTTGTGTTCAATCTCCTTACCTGTTCGGTTGTTGGTTTAATTGCTTTTGATTGTCAGTTTATGTACCTACTTATGCACGTGTTGTTTGTTCGTCTGTCTGTCTGGCTGGCTGGCTGTCTTGTTTTGCATAAACGTTGCGTTCTGCTCATGACTGTTGAATGATTATGACTGCTATTGTTTGTTGCACAGCTCAGGCGGGGGAATAAGGCCTTGAGGATCCCCTGACCAAGGATTTAGGGTTTAGGGTTCCGGTTTAGAGATGAGGGTTTAGTTTTTAAAGTTGAGGGTTTAGGGTGTAGCCTTCAAGCTTCTGTTCCTGGTCCTAGAAGGGGTTTCGAGCGTCTCATGTTCCTTGAGGGGGCTTGTGGATGTATCAACGCGAGTTTCCGAGGTGGAGATGCGCAGGTCAGGTTTCCAAGTAGTTGAGGTTTAGTTTTGGGGTTTGGGGTTGATCAGCACTCGAAGGAACTTTAAGCAGGCTTTCGGGTTTCGGGCTTCGGGCTTAATGCTTTTATTTTCGGTCTTTACTTACAGGATTTAGGATGTGGGGTTAGGGCTTAGGGCTGAAATTTTCAACCCATGGGAGACTGGTTGGGGCTTAGGGCCTGGGCTTAGACTCGCTGTAGCCTTATCCCAGAAGCCCGGAACCCCCAAAATGCCTAGAATCCGAAGCCTCGTATGCACCAGGGGTACATTACAGTGTGTTCATCTAGGAATTAGCTTAAGATGTCTCGAATCCAAATCCCATAGCCCTTGTAAACACTTGAAACCAGCCCCTGGTAGGAGACATCCAGAGAAGATGAGGTGGCTTCCTTCTGAAGATGTCATGTGTGTTTTGGGGTTCAGGGCAGCTTGATGGTTGGGATATTAGGGTTCAGGGGTTTAGGGTTTAGGATTTGGGGTTTAAGGCTCAAGCACGGGTCTAAGTTTCAGAAAACACTTTAGGGTCCCTGCCGCGGCCCAGGGTGTCGGGACTCGAAGCTTCGGTTGAGGTTTGGGGTATTGAGCATCGCATCTCGGTCCCTCTGACTTCGCTGGAAGGTTGCGAATGGTAGGGTTTAGGGTTTAGGGTTAGGGGTTTAGGGTTCAGGGTTTAGGGTTTAGGGTTTAGGGTTAAGGGTTGAAGCTGTCGAAGTCGGCAAGGGCTTGGAAGCAGAAGGGCGGACCGCCCGAATTCTAAACCGAATGCCTAAAACGCCGAAGCCAAGAGCCTACTCCCCCCAGAAATCAACAAACTCAAGTGCCTAGACCCCGAAACCTAAGCAGACGGAAAAGAGCTCACCCCAAAAATCTCGGGTTTAGGGGTTGAGGGGTTTAGGGGTTTAGGGTTTAGGGGTTTAGGGTTTAGGGTTTAGGGGTTTAGGGTTTGGGGTTTAGGGGTTTAGGGTTTAGGGTTTAGGGGTTTAGGGTTTAGGGTCCTGGGCTTGGGGTTTTGGGTTTAGGGTTTACCGTATATCACAGATGAGTCTAAATCAATATACCACCGGTCTCGATTCTAACGATCAAGTTAAGGCCTTTCTATGACACACGAACCCCAGACAATCCTAGCGTAAATCCATTGTTGAACCCCGTAGAGTTGCTTACAAAAGGCACTGCAAGAAATTCGATTGCTTTTGCATCGAAAACATGGACAGAATCCTTCCAGAACTTCTCTTAACCTGTTTGTGGATCATTTTCATCCCTTAACAAGACTATACATCGCCAGAACGATCTACAATACTCAAAAGTTGCTATACAAGACCGAAAGCAACGTAAGCCAGAGAAACCTCGTGTAAGACAGGAAGGGACCATCGGCCCCGAACAGAAATCATTACCAAACCCTCTCAGGCTGTGAAAACCGTGGGATTGGATTATGAAAGTCCTGAACCCTCAACCCCTCCACTCCTCAAGCCCTAAACCCTCAGTAGCCTTTGCTACTGTTCCCGAAACCCTGAACCCTGACCCTCTACTAGCCTTATACTAGTGGCACCTAAACCCGAAACCCTAAATCCTAAACCCTAAGCCTAAACCCTAAACCCTAAACCCCAAACCCCCAAAGCCTGTGGCAATCTATAGACCCCAAACCCCAAAGTCTATAATTTTCCATAGACCCCAAGCCCCCAAAGCCTATAGTAATCTATAGACCCCAAACCCCCAAAGCCTATAGTAATCTACAGACCCCAAACCCCAAAGCCTATACTAATCTATAGACCCCAAACCCCAAAGCCTATACTAATCTATAGACCCCAAACCCCCAAAGCCTACAGTAATCTACAGACCCCAAACCCCCAAAGCCTATACTAATCTATAGACCCCAAACCCCCAAAGCCTACAGTAATCTACAGACCCCAAACCCCCAAAGCCTATGGCAATCTAGAGCTTAGCCTTATATCGACCTCGCAGTTCTCCGTCGGCGTCCTCGGCGGGGCGATGATTTCCTTAGTGAGGCGTGACTGGGTTCCCTTGAAGGAACCCTTAAAGCAACCCTGAAAGGAGCCCTAAAGGGAACCCTGAAAGGATCCCTTAAAGGAACCCTTAAAGGAACCCCTTAAGATTCCTTCAAGAATTGCTATAAGGGCTCCTTGCAGGGCTCGTTTAGAGGGGTTTAGGGCTGAAGGGTCCTTAAAGGGTGAATGCTGGAAGAGCTCCTTGAGGCGGTCCATAAAGGCTCTGAAGGGGTTTGTTTAAGACCGAAAACCTAAGAAGCCCAAAGCGAAGGGGGAAACCCACGCTAAACCCTAACCCCTAAAGCCTAAACCAGCACATCTAATCTGCCCCAGAGTTGCCAGGGCCCGGAAAAGAAGGTGCCACCAGGATCCCAAACCAGGACCAGTACCACCAACCATGCGTCACTCAGAGAACACCACCATAGGTTTAAGAACTCAATAAGAGGAGGCTCGAGGTCCTCGCATCCATTATTATTATTATTACTACTATTATTCTTATTCTTATTCTTATTCTTATTATTATTCTTATTCTTCTTCTTATTCTTATTCTTCTTATTCTTATTCTTATTCTTATTCTTATTCTTATTCTTATTCTTATTCTTATTCTTATTATTATTACTACTATTAATTATTATTATTATTATCATTATTATTATTATTACTATTATTATTATTATGAGTATGCCCCGTTGCACCTGGTGGCTCCGCCCAAACCCCTCAGCAAAAGGCGGGCCAGCTGAGCGAACAGTGACCCTCTACCCGGAAAGAGCCATAATCGAGTTTCCAGCAGTGATGTCAAATCGTCGTGCGTTACCCCTAAACCCCAAACCTAAACCTAACCCTAAACCCCAAACCTTAAACCCAAACCCTAAACCCGAAACCCCAACCCCCAAAATCTCATGGGAGGCGGTGGGCCTCGCACCTCATCCGCGAGCACGCGCGGGCCTTCATCAAGGCAAGGGGGTTCTCCGATTTTTAAGGTTTAGGGTATCAGATTTAGGGTTCTTTTTTGGGTTTAAGGTTTAGGGTATCGGGTTTAGAGTTTTTTTTTTGGGTTTAAGGTTTAGGTTTTTTTGGGGGGGGTTTTAGGGTCTGGGGTTTGCTTGGGGGGTGTTTCAGGGTTCAGGGTTTTTTTTGAGGTTGAGGGTGTCGGCTTGGCTTTGGGGTTTCAGGGGTTGGGGTTTAGGGTTTGGGGGCTTTGGGGTTAGAGAGTTGAAATGCTTTTGAGGGCTTTGTGGGTTTGTCCAGGGTTCTTCGGGGTGTGCTTTGGGTACGGCCCCCACTCAGAAATAGTTAAATAGTATTCATAATATAGGTATATTAGGACCTTAACAGTAGCCCTATCATAGACTCTTACTGTACGGGGGCAGTGCCTCACATAGACTTTAAGTAACCTATAAGATACCACAATATACCAGAAGCTACTATAAGATACTACTATGATGGTCTTAGGCTGTCCCTAAACCCCAAACCCTAAACCCTAAACCCTAAACCCTAAACCCTAAACCCAAAACCCTAAACCCTAAACCCTAAACCCTAAACCCTAAACCCTAAACCCTCTTGTGTTTTTGAAGCCAGGGTCGAAGTTCGCGGTTTCATTCAGGATTTTTGAAGGTCGCATGTGCCCTGAGGATGGTTGTGCTGTATCTGCCGGGGTTTCACCCTCGACCTTAGACCCTAAACCCCAAACCCCTAAACCCTAAACCCGTAAACCCTAGACCTTAAACCCTAAACCCTAAACCCCTAAACCCCTAAACCCCTAAACCCCCCCAAACCCCTAAACCCTAAACCCCTAAACCCTAAGCCCCTAAACCCTAATCCCTAAAACCTTCGATCCTGAGCAACCCTTGGGAGCTGGGGGATAGTGGGCTGGAAGCGGGGCGGCGGGCTATGTAGGATTTAGGATTCGGTTTAGGGTTTAGGGTTTAGTAGGGTTTAGAGTCTGTCGACGCTGGGGCCTGCAGGTTATTTAGGGTCTATGTGAGGTAGTGCCCCCATTCCGTAAGAGTCTATAATGGGGCCACTATTAAGATCCTAGTATGTCTATCTTATGACTGTTATTCAACTATTACTGAGCGGGGGCCGCACCCAAGGTCTATGGATGTTCAGGGTTTAGGTGATCTTCAGGCCTCTTGAGTTTGGCGTTCTGGGTTTTTCTGGCTTTCAGGGTCTTGCCTAGCCGCTAAGACAGGGATTTCATCAAGTGTAACACAACCGAAAAGCCAGGCCCTCATGAATCACCTTAAGCCCCTTGACGAAGTCCTAACCCCCAAAGCCTATCCTGAAGGGGTCTTGGGCGCATTATCTAGGTAGGGCTTTGGGACATTTTATATTTTCCCTTATTGGGCTTAAGAGGATTTTATTTACTAATATTTTTCAAAGGCTCTACAAGCCCCACCTAGTTATGGCACGCATGATTTTTGGTTGAGGAACCCTTAAGGGATGGATGGTAGTGGTAAGGAATTGAGCTTCTACATGAGACCAATGTATCAATCAGATCCCAAACTCTTGCCCCCTGGCTCCTGTCAAAGGTCAGGGCTTAAGTTCAGGCTTTGTTGAAGGTGAATCCAAGGGTAAAAGGAGGGACCCTTAATAAGGACCCCTAGGTTCTTACCCTTAGTATAGCTATTATATACCCTTTGAGTGAAGGGTTCAGGGTTCAGAGTTTATGGTTGAGGCCTCGAACGTCTGTTCTCTCTTGAGGGGATTTTGGGTCGTATGGGTGGTTTTTCATATTAGGGTCCCTTTTTGGGTCCCCAAAATAGTACATCACGCGAATAGAATGGGCCCTAAACGGGACCCTAATTTAGGGAACTACCCGGTGTCTGGACATACGTCTTGGATTCCCTCAAGTATCTTAGGTATCTCTTTCCCCACGATGCCTGGGAAAGCCCCCTAAACTCTAGACCTAAACCCCCAACCCTAAACCTTAAACTTTAGTCCCTAAGCCCGGCATACTAACCTTTAATTCCTAAACTCTGAACCTTAAACCTTAAACTACCAAAAGGAAAACAGCCCTTAAGATAAAACAAAAGCCAAAGGACGTTCCAAGAGAGCTGCTGAACTTTTCCTTTTCGAGCTGGTCCTTGGAGTTGGAGAGAATTGACCTCCAGGACACGCGGATCAGGTGTCGAGGTTTCCCGTTTAAGACACCGACACCCCAATATAGGGGCCTTAATAGTTAGAATATGGTTTTGGGGCCCATCATACTATACTTATAATAAGGAACCCCCAAAGTAGGAGAGGTAGTCATTGAAGCCCCTATATTAACCCCTTCGGGGATAGGGTTTAGGGTTTAGGACACCGGGACCCTAAGGATAGCTGAACCGTAAAGAACTGAATATTCATAAAGGAACCCTAAACCGAGGCGTAGCTATCCCATGCAGCCTTAAATGGGAGTTTCCCAAAATAGAGGACCCTAATATGGTACCCTAAATAGTAGGATCCTTATTATAAGGACCCCAAAATAAGGTACCTGCGGAATACACCTGAATTCGACGGTGTACTCGTAATCAATCTCAATCTCAAATCCAGATTCTTCCCAACAATGCCCGAAATCCAACCTGCGATTCCCAGAATGAAAGGCCAAGGTCACAGGAAGCAATGGGCCGCGGATGAGATGCACTGGGATTTTCTCTGCACTGCAAAAGACGAAGTTAGATCCTCGAGGAAATCTTTACATCGAGCTTGCTATGCGATCTCAAAGGAATCTTCCAAGCTCCATCTCAAGGATAACTACGCTTATCATTTACTTTGGGACCGTCGCCTCTTGCTGAGCTTCACTTGAGCCACAGCAGGCAACACTGCATCTGTCGGCGACACGGCCGAACACCACGCAGTCCCAGCTGGTCTCTCCAAGACCTGGAGCACTTCCGCACTCCTCCTTGGCACTTCCGTCAGGAAGCGCCACTTCTGCTTCAAAACTTTCGAGGACTTCTTACAGGAACCGGCTCCGCTCAGGCTCCTATGCACATCCTCTTGCATCACGGACTGTTCGCGCGACGACAGTACTCGCACAAACGAAGGCTTCTGTGGTTGGAGGCCTTCAGATATCCTTGGCAACCCTCTTGAAGATGATAGCACTCACCACTGCCTACGTGATCCCTCGCAGGCAACGTAGGGACCGGTTCTCTAATGATCCGGATCTCAGATCTGGGTTGAAGCGATTCCCTGGCTACCTGTGGCTCAGTTTGGGTGCTCACTTCTTTGTGAATTCTTACAGCCTGTCTACCTCGATCTGCTGGGACTTCAGACGGTGAGACATGTGATGCAGGCTGGACTCTAGATGCTGAGGCTACTGCTTGGGACCTTGCTAACACCGACGATTGGAAAGCGGAAGCAGTTTGCTCTGAATCTGTGCTACTCAAACCCCTACGCCTTCTAACCCCTTCAGACCCTGGCGGCGCTTGCATAGGTGGTTCTGTCAACGCCGACTCCAAGACATCATCGATCCTCGCCTGAAGCTCTGAGCTGATTGCGTTTCTCAAGCGCTCGGCCCGCTGAGCCTTACGCGCCTGCTTTCTGAGCAGTGGTTCCCCAAACTTTCTGAAGACTACCTTTCCTACTTCCCACAGCGCAACAGCAGTAACTACAAGCATCCCTGCGACAAGATACACCACTACATCCGACTTGACATTCTCTCTCTCACTCTCCTCTTCTTCTTGACCCGTCACAACTCCTGACTGCAACAGCAACATGAGTGCAAGGAGAATCCTACGGGTGTGAGGCTTAGGGTCTACTCCTACCGCGAACAGCTCTTGATTGAAAAGACCCCACTGGTCCGAGAGGTCCTGAATTCTCGGACGCGACAGTGCTTTCGTCAACAGGTCAGCTCTTTGCTGATCTCCTCTTTGAAACTCTAGCTCGAACTCTTCTTCTGCCAGCTTCTCCGATAGCCAAGCGCAACGCACTCTGAGATGCCGTGTCCTCCAGGAAAACTGGCCTTGCTGTATACAAATTGCTGAAGTAGAGTCACAAAAAATCTGCTTACGCTGAATCTCGAAACCCATTGCCGCGATCAACGCTGATATTGACTCAAGTGCTACCTTCCTGGAGCGCAAGAAGCTCTGCCTCTGCGCTGCTTAAAACAACGAATGGTTGACGGCTTGACTTCCATTGCAGGGCCCCTGAGTGTAGGTACAGGCACCAACCGGTGTGGCTCTTCGACCCGTCCGGCGCAAATGATGCGTCTGTGTATGCCTGTAGTTGCTCTTCGGATGCCTGGTATCGAAGCCCCAACGACTTCGTTTCCACAGCATAACACAGAGCTCTGGTTGCCACCCTCTCACTGCGCACTGGAGCTCGAGTTGCCAGTGAACCTGCTAGAGCAGCGACGAATCCTAAGTCTGGACGAGATCTTTGGCTGAGCCAAAGGACCTCGCCTGTTCGCTTTTGAGCTCGAAGCGTGTCCTCCGGAGTCGGATCTGGGTCCGATGGTAGCAGGCCGAAGCTTGCATCGTCCTTTGAGACTGGAGTTTTGAAACCTTTCTTCAGATCTTGAGTTCTTTCAATCTCCTCCAGATAAGAACCCTGGCTCAAGAAAAACCCGTTGGGTATCACCGATATGTCCGTTCCCAAGAATTGGATTGGAGAACCCTCGCTGGCGTAGGTAAGTGGGGAGGTGTCCCAAAGTCTCCGCACCATGCCTGCCACTGCATCTATGATCGCTGGTGGGCCTCCGAAGAGGAGGTCATCCACATAAACCAATAGCAATGCTAGGGTCTCTCCCTTCAGTTCTCCCACACGCTTGACGAGCCATAAGTTGCCATCCAAGTCACACTGAACCAAAGTTACTTCACCATCTGATGTTTGTATCACTTGGTTCTTCAACAATGAGTCTCTATGCAGCCCCCAAAGGCGTGGTGCCTCTCGGAGGCCGTAGAGAGCCCTTGAGAGTTGCCACTGTTCTTCATCATCTATCACATCAAGCAGTTTGAGAATGGATGGTGGTTTGACTAGTACGGCTGGGAAATCCTTCTCAGGCATCGGTGTTTGCAGAAATGCTGAAGCTATGTCGAGTGTAGCTAGACTCCATTTTTGTTTACTCGTGATAATCAAGAGGATGCGTAATGTTTCTGATGACGCCCCTGAGGCGTATACCGGGAGTCCCGTTTCTTCAGCATAATTGCCGCAACATACGATTCGAGCCTTTCTTCGGAAGAACATTGTCTCTGCCCAACCTGGATCATTCCTTGACACCTGGGTTTCATTCGTAAGTGCGCCTTGTGTCGGTGGCTTTACACTAAACACAATCTTGCTTGGCACCTGAATCGTATTCGGAAGATCAAGAAGCCGCTTGAACTCCGAAGAACTTCGGCGCCATCGTTTCAGACCATGTTTGATCCCGTCAAACTCCTTTTGTATGGTGGGTTTCCATTTCAACAGATGGGCCTTTGCTTCTCTGGGGTCGCAAAGGTGAACAACCTTGAGTGGTGAGCTCAAGGACTTTAGAAGTGATTCCAAGTCTGTTGTAAACGATTGCTCCACTTTCCTCACTGCTTGAATGGTTCTGAGGGACTTTGGAAGTGACTGAACATCCACGGTAGCTTCACATGACTCCTCCTCAACCAGCTCCACATAGCCCTCACCGCTCAGTGGGACAAGCAATGACCGCACATTCCTTGGAACAAAGTCCTGAGATGTACCAGAACTGTTATGCGACGTACGTTCCGCGCCTTCGTGATGGTTTAAACAAACTTGCATTTCATTCATCTCTTTGGGCACCACCGGTAGCGGAGCCCTCAGAGCATTCTGGAAGGCCTCACCCTCCCGATGCGGACTAACCTTGAGTCCCCAATTCACATGCAACTCCACACTCTCGGATACGCCTTGAACCCTTTCCGTCCAACCTCCAGACCGCTGAAGACCCGAATCCTCAGGAATCGAATCCCTCGCGTCCCTATCACAAGACTTTACAGCATAGGCCTGCTCCGGGCTTCTGCCGCCTTCAGTCTGATGATACTGCGCTCCGATACTTCCATCCTGTAACATTCGGCTTCCATCTCCAAGTCCTAGCAGACCTGAGTCCTCAAGAGTCTGATCCCCTAGGGTACTTGAAGCGGGATTTACCGCACGGAAAAAGGGAGAAGTGACATCATCAAGAAACCTTCCCCTCGAACTTTCTGTAAGCTGTCTCAGCTCCTCCGCGCTAAGGCCCTCAAGTAAGCCTTCGCACGGAAAACCTAAATTCTCCATGTTCGCCCAAGTTTCAACCTTCACTTTGTCCAGTGTTTGAACTCTGTATCCGACTAGTACAACCCTGTCTCCTTGATAGGTCGTGACGCCGTGGCGCCTTCTGGGATTCAACAGGGAAGGAACCAAAGTCTGCAAGCGATTCACAACTCCGTAATACTTCCGACCTGAGTCCGACTGCATTTCTTCAATGCCCCCTGTTAGGACATCTCCTGGCATCACCTGTGTCCAATGATGCCCTCCTGACCGAGGCATAAGAAGCGGAAGGACAATGTTCATAGACTCTTTGTGATTGTTTTTATCTCTGTGAACTGGTAAGGCGTCCGTAAAGAGGCCAATGGATGTGTATTCATGGCCTGGTGCATACTGCGTCAAGAGGGCGTTGAGAAGTCGAACAAACAATGGCCTTTCCCTGTTACCAGTGTGTTCTCCTACAATACCTCCCCGCCTACACAGTCCTGCCAAAAATCTACTTCCTGGCATTTTCTTACACCACTTAAGAACACACTGCCGAGCCTTCGCAGGATCCCAATCCGACAATACCTTACGAGCCTCCTCCTCAAATGATGCTTTTAGTGCTTCTTCCCTGTTTACTTGACGCACAGCTGGAGCGCCGGTTGGTGAGGGGGGCTTCGTCTTTCCGGTCATTCGTCTACCAACTAAAGGAACATGCATGGACGGTGGTTCCGGTGGGGCCTCAACGTTCGCTCGCACATTCGTTGAGTGCATAAACATTGCCTTTCCACCTTCATGTTTCACCAACACATGCGCACCTGCAACCAACTGAGATAAACCTACATATCGGTACTCTACCCACCGTGATGAAAACTCTTGCCGCTCTTCATGAGACCGAGGCTGAAGTGCCAGGACTTTTGTCCCAAACGGAGTGAGCAACTTGGTTGATAGACCGAGCACACTTGAC